CCATTACCCAGAATTGAGACTGGAAGCTATCCTGAAAAAAGAACAGGAGTACTTGTGGCACCTTAGAGACTAACAAATTTATTAGAGCATAAGCTTTCGTGGACTACAGCCCACTTCCAGCTATCCTGGTAATTCAGCAGCTTCCGGTTGTTATTAACATAACCAAGTTATGTGAGCGAGAAGACAAACTGAGAATGCAGCACTTTGGGTCTCTCTCAAAAGCAACTGCACTCCATGCAGTTATAGCCTTGCTAAGGATTTGGAGTCACAGGAAATTAGGACCTGGGGGCAGAAATAAGAGCAGAGAAAAGGTCTTTTCTATCTGCCTGTATCTGGAGAGAAAGGACTATGTTTTCCCCTTTACCATTTCACAAGACTGTAAATACAAGTCACCTTATAACATAAGGAACTGCATGCTGCGTCTGGAGGAAAGTCTTAAGCAATTCTATTACCTCAAGAACTGGGATTTCAGACCAGGGCCGCCCGGGGGGTGGGGTGGGGGAAATGGGGCAATTTGCCCTGGGCCCCGCAAGGGCCCCCACGAGAATATAGCATTCTATAGCATTGCAACTTTTTTTTTATGGAAGGGGCCCCCGATATTGCTTTGCCCCAGGCCCCCTGAATCCTCTGGGTGGCCCTGTTTCAGACAAGCAGAAGTTCACTGGCTGCACCGAGGACAAGTCCAGTCACTGTCCCTCAAGGGGTTGAGAATTTGGTTCTCATTAGCCTGTCAATAACCAAAGCTTATGACTCGCCTCTGTTATGTTTGTCAATGATTCTTAAGTACTCACAGAACCAGCACTTTTGCTCAGAGGGGCAACAAGATCCTGCCACAAGCTCTGCAGATTTTCTGCTAAGTATCTTGTATGGATGATAATGAGGACAATGCACCTTAGACAGATGCTAATCTCCCAGAGATTTAAACATATCATTGCTGTGGATATTGGTTTTACCTTAACTTGGGATAGTTCCTTTTGAGGAGTTGTGAGCTGCTTGCCAATCCTGCCTTTGGCCTTCAATTCTTCTACTGTCTTGTAGGCATATTTGGGTTTTTTCTTGCCTCCATTAGGATCCTTCCTCCACTGACTGAGCTCTTTCTGAAATTCCTAAATAAAAAGCCAAAGTCAGACCAGAGATGCAGGTTGCTGGCCAGCCATGCAAGTCTGTCATAGGATTCTTTACACAAGAATATTTCGGCTCAGGTCCCTTAAAGAATGCAGTATAGAAAAACGATAGGCAAAGATTAAAGCTGAATGGCAGGTTACTGGCTGAGTCAAACATATTACAGATTCAGTACATTTCTGGATCTTATTCCCAGGACAGAGGGAAAAAATACCTTCAAATGTTCCCATTAGCCCAGCCAAATAAACAGGCTTTCCAGTCCCGGAGCATTAGCAAGTGAGATTCCAGCAGCAAGGGCAAAGCCATTAGCATAAGTTTCTCTTTCAAGTGATAGGGGGAGAGAAAAACACAACACAACACACACATCTAACTTCAGCTTCCTGCATGCCGCTGAGCTGAATGGCTTCCCCGACATGGGAGAATGCCCTAGTACTACAGCCGGATTTCACATCACATTGCGATGGGAGTCTTCAACACAGAGTGAGTCCTTAACCCTGTGAAACAGACAGACCAAGAGTCATACCTCTTCAGCTTCTTCCTCCGAGTCAACAACAGGGAAGTCCTGCAAGGACTGACTGGTTCGTTCAGAGCCATATGCTCCCAAGGCTCCTTTGCCTTTCCTTTGCTTGGCCTCAATCGGATTGATGATACCTGGGGAGTTTCAGAACAGTTAGTGAACGTCAGCTAGGATGGGGAGTCTAACCATTTGAACAGGAAAAGCTGTAAATAACTCTCTTTTTCCTATGGTGACCTATCAAACTGGCACAGATCATCCAGTCTGGCATTCTGTCTTCAGCAGTGTCAGTATTTTGCAGTTACACATTGTTATTGGTGGCCCTAAAATTTTCAGGCACTTTTAAAAACCTGCTGTAGCATGTTCCTCTGACCATTGATGCTAATGAATTCTATACACTGCACAAAATAGCATTCCCTTTGATTGTTCCAAGTTGAATGCCTTTTAATTTAATCTCCCTCCTATTGTCTCCTCCTCATGCTCCATAATCAGAGATTGTGCAGTCTCCCACCACATGTCAATTTCATCTAATTACTGCTGTAATTATTTAAAACTAATACAACTGGATTTGATCTTGAAGATCCAACTTGTCTGAAGGAGAGGTGGGCAAACAAGAACCAAGTTTGCAGTTTTCTTACAGAATCCCCATCTCAGGCCCACGCATTTGGGGAAACACACAGTACCTTGAGCATTCTTTCCAAGCCCTCTACCAGGGACATAACCCATTTTCTGAAGAAGCTTCTGCCCTATTCCCTTGGTGTGTCTCTCCCAGCTGCCGAAGTCCATGAAAGATTTGGTCCCTCCTATAAATCCTTTCTGGCTGGGTTTGAAATTGCCACCCTGTTAAAAAGAAAAGAAACCAATACCAGATAAATGATATAATCACCAAGCTCTTCGCCATCGGTCTCAAGATGAGATCTCCCCTGAGGAGCCTCACCAGCCTGCAGAGAGCCCCCTAGGCCCACTGCTGGAGTTGGGAGTTTGTAGCCCCGTTCCCATTATGGGCTGATCTATAAGGCTCTATGGTGGGCAGAAATGATATTTTGCATCTGAACAGTCGAAAAATGGATTTTGATTTTTAATCCATTTAATTGGTAATTTGCTTATGCTAGTCACATTTAGTACTGTGAAAAGAAATAATTTGAAAAAATATTTATCGTTGATGGGTAGAAGCAAAACCTAGACATTCATTTACTTCAACCTCATTCAACTCAAAATGAGTATCAATGAAGGGAAACGGCTTAAGAGGCCTGGGGAGGAGTGAAGCTCCCAAGAACATACGCAATCCATCAAAATACACAAAAAAAGCCAAGGGAAACTTCTCCCTCCACTGCAAACCAGTATCACAAGTGGTTTTACTCAGCCACTGTTCTCCCTTCTCAGCTGCTGTATTACTGAACCAGTACCTGGACTGCACCGTGGCTGGCGCTCCGTAAATAACTTAAATAGGTCTGATACTTTTATGAATAACTCACTGTTTTTAACTTCTTTGGTACAAACTCTTTAGGGAATTCTTCCTGCTTAATGGGCTTCTCATCCTCATCTGAGTCTTCTTCTATCACTTCCTCAGCTGCAGCTTTCCTTAGTCCCGCACTGATGAAATTAACGGGGGCTGAGTAGTCCCGAGAGCTGCATAAAAAAGGGATTTCACAGTCATGCTGTTGTAACACAGTACCACTGAATCAGAACTGGAAATGCACACACTCAGAAACACCTTGATGCAGTTTTTCCTGATTTCAAAATAAACTCAGTGTTAAGAAATAGTAGTAAAATCTGTTAAATTCAAACTTCTGATATTTCATTATGGAAAATGTTGGTTCTGAGTGTGCGCGCAAGGCTCTCTCTAATGAGTTGTAACCTAGCACACTGGTGATCCCCCTCACAAACACCTTACTAACTGGGCAATAAGGAAACAAATCTTGGAACCAAACTATATATGAAGAATTCAGTCCATTTGATAACACACTGAACTAAATATTAACCCCACCCCTCTCCACACAGATACCCTCCAAAGCCATTACAATCTCAAACTGGCCACAGTAGCAGAGTTTCATGGAGTACTTCGCCTTCTGTATCAGGCTTTATACATCAAGTGACTGATTTACATTCATAGGAAAACTTGCAAAATCAAATATCCTATCGAACTTATAAAGGAGTCCCCCAAATAGTTCTTTGCAGACTGACAGAGAAAAGAAGCATATTAAAAGTGAGAAATCTATTGGTACTGCACGAAGAAAGCAGTATCTCATTTGGACTGTTACTTTAGCTTATCAGCTACGCTAACAAAGAGAAGATCGTCTGTTCACAGTCCTGCCGGAGTTTGCAGGGCACTGGTAACTGCCCGTACCGTTTGCCTCCAAAGCTGGGCCTCTCATCGTCCGAGTCGTGCTCAGCCCACACGCCATAGGTGGCCTCCTCCTTGGTCTGCCAGTGGCGCTGGCGGTTGGGGTTGAACTCGTTCTGCAGGTCCCAGTCCGTGATTTCAAATTTCTCCATCTCCACATCACCATCGTCATCTTTGCCGTAGAGATGGGACATGGACATGATGGCCTGGGAGAGAGCAACACCCGGCAGAGTCAGCGCGAGCAGCTGGGAACAGGGTGGGGGCCGGAGAGAGGTGGTAACATGGGGGTGGGCGGACATGGCACAGCCCGGGAGAGGCGGTGACACTGGGGGAGGGGGAGAAGGAGACAGTCGGCGCGAGGCTTTGACACGGCGGGGGCGGGCACGGCTCGAGGCGCTGACACCGGGGGGGGAGGGGGACCGGCGGCGCGAGGCGGTGACACGGGGGGGGGCAGGGCGAGGCGCTAGTGACGCCCCGTTACGAGCAGCGGCTGCGGGGAACAAGGGGCCCTCGCCGGGGGCAGCGCGAGGACAGAACACTAGCGGGGGGAGGGGGCGCAAGGGGACCGCGTCTAGCCCGGGTGCCGGCCGCTCACCGCGCGGGGAGGGCGGGCTCCGCCCGCGGTCACACGGGCCTCGGAAGATTCCCGTTCGGGGCCGCCGGCACTCGGCTCCGCTGCTCGAAAGCGGCCTGCGCTGCTGACCCGGAAACAGGAAGCTGTGGCCTTTACTTCCGGGGCCGCGCCGCGACTGCGCCTGCCCAAGCCACGCCCCTAACCATAGAGACATGAAGGCAGAGCGGCCGCCCCGCCGCCCGTCCTGGCCTCGCCTCTCGCTGGTGCTGGCTGACTGCTCGTGGGGCGGGGCCAGCCCGGCCCAGCCCCCAGGGATCCAGGCTCCCCACCCCCCAGCAGGGTGGTGGTTTGGCCCCTTGGGCAGCCAGGGGGCACCTGGCCACTGCACATGGTGTCGCACCCACAGGCCCGGGGTCCCACGGACACTGCACCCCCGCGGACCCCTGCCCCCCGGCCCCACAGGCCGGGTTCCCCTCGCAGGCGTCCGGCAGCGCCCCACCAGGCCCATCCCCTCGGCGCATCCCCAGCCGGGCTCACAGGCCGGGGGCACCTCAGGAGAGCGAGCAGCAGCAGGGGGCTTGGCCCAGCACCCCTAGGACACATCGGACAACAGTCGCACCACAGGAAATAAACCAGACTGAGCCACGCCTGAAACAGAACGGCCTCATATATTAACTCTTCAATAGACTCTGTACGTTACGAGTGAAGGAATGATAGAAGGCAGGTCTCCGATTGTCACTTGTACAACAAAGGCTCTATGTGGTTATTACACTTATTTCTGGTTTCAAATGAGAGAACAAAATTACAAGACCATTTTAATGCAACTTTAAAAAGTTCTCCAGTAACTGAATATAAAATCTCTTTCCAATGCACTTCGAAGGGTCAGTCAGAAAATTCATTTCCACAGATTTTTCTCTTTACCACAGCGTGTTCAGAAAAGGTAGACAACTGGTACTTGAAGTGTTAAATGTTTGACCTTTGCAAATAAATGCAAATACATTCCTGGTACAGCAGTCACATTTTGGCAATATTAGTAGCAAGCAATATGCTTGGATAACAGATTTCCACTTCTGCATTTGCAAATTCCTTCTCTGCTGGGCAATGAAAGGCCACTTGCAACATCCTGCAGGGGGGGGAAGGTATTTTAGTCAGAGGAATGAGCTATATACGAATACAGCAAATCTATGATCATTTGTACCCAGGGCTCTTACAAATGGACTTTGTGAGAGACCTACAAACTCTCAACCAGGAACCAAGACTGGTGCTACATCTCCACAGCAGAGCCTATTCCCCCAGTGTAGACGCACCGTATACAGACAGGAGGCGCGCCACCATTATAGGAACTCCTCAAACTGCTGCTTTTGTTGTCAGCATAGCTCCGCTTCTGAGGGGGGAGGGATTCAAACCCCTAACTGACAGCACTATGCCAGTGTATGCTGTAAGTGTAGACCAGGCCTAATAGACCCTCTGTTCCTGTTCAATGCTTTTGTTTCCTTTATCACAATCATTATGATGTTCATTTGTGTCTCAAACTCAGAACAAGACATTTCCAATTCATTCTAAATGTCAGGCCATGTTTACATTAGCACTTATGTCAACACTTTTGTCGCTCAGGAGGGTGAAAAAATACCCCACTGAGTAACAAATTTTGATGGCATAAGTGCTCATGTGCACAGTGCTATGTATGCAGGAGATGCTCTTCCCCCAGCATAAAACCAACTCAAGAAGCGGCGGTAGCTATTATGCCAATGGGAGAGCTCTCTCCCATCAGCATAACACGGCTACACGAGCGCTCATACAGCGGCAAAGCTGTCTTGGTACAGCTGTGCCGCTGTCAACTTGTAAGTGTAGACGTGGCCTTAGATTTTACAAGTGCTCACAATTGTTTTTACAACACAGTGTAGGGATTAATGTGTAAAAACACAGACCTTAAGCTTTGTTTCAGAAGAAGAGGGGAAAGCGAGAACTACAGAGGTGTTGTTTGTTTTGTTTTGTTAATTAAAAAATAGTCTGTCTGACTTTTTGTTATTATTAATCCATGAAGGTCAATGGCACATCCTAGAGGGTTATCAGAGCTTCTCCTGCTGCAACAGAGAACTACTGCTCAGTTCACCTGGACATTTCCATGTTCTCAGCAATCCTACAGACTGGTGATGTCACGTTTTGAAATCCATCTGGCAAAGTAACAGCATTATTCTGGCAAATTGGAGCAATTAACTGAACATGGAGTTGATATGTCTCAGGAGTACACCTAGAGCCGCTGAACTCTAAGCAACAGGCATTAGAAATTATGCAGGCAAAACCCCACCCCAGAGCAATGCAGACAGAGCTGCAGGATTTCCAAGTAAGGCACAAGTACCTACCTGGAAATCATTAACTTTCAGTGAGAAGCAGACGTATTCTGAGTCACCTAAAACAATCCAAGAAAAGCGATGATTAGTATTAAGTCACATACAAAACACAAACTGTCCCACCGCACTTCTCAGAGTGAGTTGAGAGTGCGCTTTTGCCAGGAGATCGCCACCTCTCCTGTGATAGGTAGGCTTCCCCAGTGATCCAGATCTTCATCACTGCAATGCATTCTACATGGGACTCCACCTGACAGCCATTCAGGATCGGCAGCTGGTGCTTCTTGCAGGGAGCACAATTACACCCGGGCACGGCAGGCTGCACTCGTTTCTGAGTCTGGCAATTCAAAGCAATGGTTTTCCACTTGTGAATCTCGAAATGCTTTTAATGCTGGCTACCTAAGGGGTGCCTCTCTCCCCACACGCTACTGGGACAACCGAAATCACTGCTTACTTTAACAGTTCCCATATTAGATAGGCAGTCTTGGTTTCCCCCAAGCCCCTTGCTTGGACACAGCCCTAGTGTGTTGACCATTAGGCTATTGGGGGTCATAAGAACATGAGAATGCCTGTGCTGGTCTGTCTAGGCCAGCATCCTGTCTTCTGACAGTGGCCAGTGCCGGGGGCTTCAGAGGGAATGAACAGAACAGGGTAATGTATCTCCTAATCCATCCCATCATCCAGCCCCAGCTTCTGGCCGTAACAGGTTTAGGGACACGCAGAGCATGGGATTGTGTCCATGACCATCTCTGCTAACAGCCATCCACCTATCCACCAGGAACTTAGCTAATTTTTTTTTAAAACCCAGTTTTACTTTTGGTCTTCACAACATCCCCTGGCAACAAGTTCCACAGGTTGTGCATTGTGTGAAAAAGTCCTTCCTTATATTTGTTGTGTCCTATCTATTTAGGCAGTATTTTCTAGGGGGATAAAGGTTTAAAGTTCTTTGATCTTCATCTCTAGTGCCATTGTGATTGCACCAAATTGTAAAGTACTTCCTGATTGTACGCCAGTGCAAAGGGAGCGGTTTTAGTGACACATGAAACAGTTCTACACTGAGAGAACTATCAGAACCAGAAGCCATGTTCTGGGACATTTACACTCTCTAGATTAGACGGACATCCTCCCTCTTCCCACTCCACATGTAGCAAGACCCAGAACAGCAGTTCAAGAGTCAGGGGCCCCAGGGAGAAGAGCATCTCCAGAAGGATTAGAGGCAGCAGAAGTGTGTTTGTCAGATGAATGCACAGACACCCCAGTGCAAGCAAGAAGCCAGAAGCGAGAGAAAATAACGTTAGCAGGAAGGCGGGGAGGTGGGGCGGGCATGAGTGTACGCAGGGCTTGGATAGCGATGACCAGCAGCTAAAAATTCATGCAGCCTGACAGGACACCAGTGAAAAGATCCGGGGTTGGTGTGACATGATCAGCACGACGAGAGAGGAACAACTGTGCAGTGGAGATTTGGATGGACTGAAGCAGGAGATGCACGTGAGTCAGGTATCCCAAGGACGGAGCTGCTGCCCTCATGTGAGGGACCAGACATGCCACAGATCCATCCGAAATGAAGGTCTAGCCCAGAGGAGTCACTGGGCGCTCTCACCTGAAGACGTCCTTTCAGATTGGCTGGTGTTTTAAAATCCCCCTTCATAACCTGTGGAAGAAATGAAACCAGAGTGACTCCACTTTGTACAGACTAGCTGATGCTTAAACAGCCCTTCTGCCTCATTAGCTGCCTAGCATGTCACAGCGTGTCTGAACCAGAAGCAAACCTCAAAGGCCTGAGCAATAGCCTGGCGTGTGCATGATGCGTGGAGCGATTTCGTTCTGCCCTGCTGGGCTGATCGCTAGCGTTGTGGGCCGACGTACGATTTCCGCACAGACCTGGCGTTTGGCATCAGACGGCGGCTGTGGTGCTGTCCTCAGGACTTCTGCTAAAAGTGGTTTCTCTGGGCTGCGCCACGCCGCGCCACACTCCCCCCCTTCTCACCCAAGGGTTTGGTTTTTTTTAAAACTGCACTGAGAAGGGATCTTTTGAACAATGACCATTTTCCATGTTCACGTTGACAAAAACTGAAGGGCTCCACTTTACTGAACTCAGGAATCCGCAGGGTCTGGATCCTGGGAGAGCCTCTCATCCCACTTTCCACTGCCACAATCAGAGCAGCCAAGCAAGCCAGGGGCAGGGGCAGGGGCTGGGGCTGGGATTTCAATGTATCATGCACAGAGATGGCACCAAACCTCCGAGAACATGAAAACAGTCTGCCTGTGGTTCTGTGTGTGCCATAACTGTGGCCTCTGGGCATCACTGCAATAAACCACCAGCACCACCTCATCGCAGTCCCTGGGCTAGTTCTCCTAGTACAGGAGTTGCCTGGTCCTCTTGGAGTCCTCCCTTTGAGGGAGGAGAGTTTGACCTGGGCCCAAGCAGAAACAAGGACATGAGAAGATTCCCTTCCTTTAGTACAGGGGTGGGCAAACTACGGCCCGCGGGACCGTCCTGCCCGGCCCCTCCCCTGCTGTTCCCCCTCGCCCGCAGCCTCAGCTCGCTCGCTCTGCCACCAGTGCAATGCTCTGGGCAGCGGGGCTGTGAGCTCCTGGGGCAGCGCAGCTGCAGAGCCCGGCCTGACCCGGTCTCTGTGCTGCGTGGTGTCGGTGTGGCACCACCAGCCGCGCCACCAGTGCTCCAGGCAGTGTGGTAAGGGGGCAGGGAACGGGGGGGTTGGATAGATGGCAGAGGAGTTCGGGGGGGTGATCAGAGGGCGGGGTGTGGATAGGGGTCAGAGCAGTCGGGGGCGGGGGGAACAGGGGGTTGAATGGGGGCAGAGGTCCCAGGGGAAAGTCAGGAAGGAGGGGGGGTTGGATGGGGCGGCAGGGGGCAGTCAGGGGACAGGGAGAAGGGGTAGTTGGATGGGGCAGGGGTCCCGGGGTGGCTGTCAGGAATGAGATGAGGGGTTGGATGGGACGGCGGGGGTCTGGGGGATGGTCAGGGGGACAGGGGAGCGGGGGAGAGTGGATGGGGCAGGAGTCCCAGGGGGGCCATCAGGGAACAAGGGGGTTGGATGGGGCAGGAGTCCCAGAGGCGGGGGGGGGGGGGGCGATGGCCCCCTCCCCTAACTGGCCCTCCATACAATTTCCGAAACCCGATGCAGCCCTCGGGCCAAAAAGTTTGCCCGCCCCTGCTTTAGTAACTGGCTCGTGGCTCTGCAGCACCCCCTAGCGGGGGCTGTAATTTCCAGAACAGCACAAGTAAGTCTTCTGGGGAATGTCTCGGGCCTTAGCACAGCCTGAGTAGGAGCACTGTCCCAGGACATGGCCTCGCATTTCTTCTGCCCCCAGCCTCCCCTTGGCTTGAGTGAGTCTGGGGTGAGCTAAGGAAGGAAGCATCAGTTTCTAGGTCTTCCATTGGGGAGAGCCTGGAGTTTTCTAGCTTTGCATTTACACGTCTTTTAACTTGGTCTTGATTTAAAAAAACCCCAATACACTCCTGAGGCTTCCAGAATTAACAGGGCAGGACAGAGTAATGCAATATCTGCCCTGAGGAGGCACAAGACCAAAAGGAATTTCATCTGTCACACGTCACGGAATCAGTCATCTGAACCAATGTTCTGAAAATAAGGAAAATGTAACTGGCACGTCCCCTTCTGTAGTTTTATCATCTTTTAAACAGGGGCAGTGGTTTTTAAAGGATTCTCTTTGCTATGATTTAGTGACCTCTCCAACCCTGGAGAGATATGTAAGTCAGTATTGCATATAGTAATTTTGTATTTGTAACGTGCGTCATTCCCATCATCCTCCAGTGACACTCCGCATTCTAAGCGGACAGTAGCAATACTCACCCTCTGGGTGTTGTTGATTACCAAGGGGTCTGGGTTGCCATAGTTGGGTGGATTTGCATATGGGTCATAGCCAAGCCTAGCGAGCATTGGTGCTATCTGGGCCATGTCTTGCAATACGTCCCCTGGAATGTGCCCGATCCATTTGGACAAAGCTTCCAAGTTTACAGGCTTAATAACCTGGTCTGTTGATCTTTCTATCCTGAAAAGAGAGTAGAAATCCGTCGCTTGGGTTTTGGATGCATGTTGCGTTCATACATAGGGGCCTGCAGCTGGGTTATTGCCGTTTGAGAGACGCATGTCGCTCAGGTATTTTCAGTGTCTTCAGGATACAAAGCTCATAAAACAGAGGCTTTAAATCCATCTATCGGTAAAGCACCAGTGCCTTCATTAGGATGGCAGAGCTGCAGGGCCAAAGACCCAACACCAACACACCTAAGGGGTCAGTTCCGCTGTTTCAATACCCAAGTGCAAAGCATCCTTCCCCACTCTGCCTGGCCTAGGGACGCTCCCGTCCGAACTGCCCACCTTGCTGGGCCTCCTGTGTTAGATCATCTGCAGTTTGTTTTCACTAGAGAGGGAAAGTGTGTCCCACTGCAATCCAAGCTTCGCTGCCTGTCTGCGGCGACAGTCTGCACCCTGCACTCAAGGGGGGAGGGGTAGCTCAGTGGTTTGAGCATCGGCCTGCTAAACCCAGGGTTGTCAGTTCAATCCTTGAGGGGGCCATTTAGGGATCTGGGGCAAAATCAGTACTTGGTCCTGCTAGTGAAGGCAGGGGGCTGGACTCAATGACCTTTCGGGGTCCCTTCCAGTTCTATGAGATAGGATATCTCCATATATTATTATTATTATTATTTATTTATAAGGCAGAGCAGCAGTCGATCACTGCACAAACTGTCCCTTTATATTTTGAGACAGCAAAGTTACCGTCCTGTAATTAGGCAGATTTACATAATTAGCATGAAAATTAGAGCCCTCCCTAGAGACAGTTCTGTTTATTCAGGACCCATAAATCTCTGGCACACGCACGAGGAGCAGAGGCTGCAGCAGGCAGGGGCCGCCAGACCATGAAGGATCCAGGGCGCCTGAGGCTCTAGAGAGAAAACCTCCCATCCCTGACCTGTCTCCCGTCAGGCCTTGGCGAGCAGACACTGATTTCTACCCTCTTCTGAAGGGATGGGCATTCCTATGGCCAAACCTCTCACCCCAGTTACTGCAGGAGAAAAATCAAAGGAATTTGTGGCTACCGGCCACATGGACATCATGGGAAATGAGACCTCGGGAACTGGGCAGCATTAGTAAATTAATGGGCTATCAGTAAGTAAGTTAATGGGCTATTTGCTCTCAGTAGATTTTTAAAGATACAAAGCCCAATAGAGGCCATCAGTTCACCTAAGAAATATGCCTGCATCTACCACAGTAGCTGCTCTCCCCTTCCCTCGCTACCACAAAGCACAATTTCCTTGGCTGGGGAGGGTTTAGAGCGAACGAAAGACAAGGCCATGAAGGAGAAAAGCTCTACCCCAAGTCATGAGTGAACTGCCTGCTCCACATCCTCTGCATTCCCTCTGCTCAGCTGCGCCCAGTGCCTGCCCAGCACGTCTGCAATGTTCACGCCTTACACCTCACGGAGAGCCAGACTCGAAGAGGCTCTCCAGATTCACAACCGCTACTGGTCAAACACCCCCCATTCACGAGCATCAGCAATATAGTGACTTGCCTTGGAATTGACCACCAGGGCTAGAGCCCCTAATTCTGGAAAATAATGTGCTCTTTTGTTTGTACATCACCCAGGACAATGAGGCCCTAATGCCCCTCTGAGGTCCTTAAATAATATGGGACTCTAATCACTCTTCCCGCCTCTCCCTCTCGCCCTCCCCCACTAAGTAGCCAGGGCCTCAGTTACACAGTGTGGCACAGAATCGGTTCAACTGTGACTCAAAGAGAACCACACCCAGTAAAATGCTGACTAGCGTGAGACAGCATTTTGCAAGGTACTGACTCACCGATCATGTGCAGTCAGCTCCCACTGCTCCTCTCTCTTTGGGAAGAACTTTTTTGGGTAGGTCTACACTGCAATGAGGCACCTGCGGCTGGCCAGTGCCAGCCGACAGGCTCATGGGCTCGGGCTGCGGGCTGTTTAACTGCAGTGTAGACCTCTGGGGCTCGGGCGGGAGGCCAGGCTCTAGGATCCTGCGAGGTGGGAGGGTCCCGAAGCTCAGGACATCCCGAACGTCTACACCACAATTAAACAGCCCCGCAGCCAGAGCCCCCATGAGCCCGAGTCAGCCGGCACAGGCCAGCCACGGGTGTCTCATTGCCGTGTAGACATGCCCAGGGCCGGCGCAACCCATTAGGCGACCTCGGCAATCGCCTAGGGCGCTACAATTTGGGGGGTGACGACCGCGGTGGTATTTTGGTGGCGGGACCTTCCGTTGTCTCTGGGGGGCGGCATTTCGGGGCGGGACCTTCCACCGCCTAGGGCGGCAGAAAAGCTGGCGGCGCTCCTGGACATACCCTTAGTGTTGATGAAAGTATGGCCTGACAATGTCCTCCCTTTCCCTTGCTCAGAGAAAAACCATACAGTGGGTTCTTTCTCCTCCATCTCCCAGTTCTGGATGTACAGAACTAACAGAAAAAGACTGTTAGAAGACAGACTTGTCTGGCTAGTTCCCATATATCCATGTTTACAGTCAGAGGTTGGGTTAGGTTAATCTAAAATTACCAAGTAGCCAAACAACGGCAGCAAGAAGCTCAAAATATGAAATAGCTCTCGAAGACGCACGCTGTGCGTACACACTTCTTTATGCCAGGATTGTGTCAGAACGACATGTGGCGAGAGGCAGTGGGAAGTCAGGGAACCTCAACTGCATGCTACCGAAAATCATTCAGTGCTAGCTGGAACGTAATCCAATGTTTAAAGAAATATTTGGGAATGGGAAGAAAAAGAGAAAGGGGGCATAGATTACCCCAAAACTGGAGCTCCTTAAATAGGACTCTGCCAAAGCAGAGCCTGAAATCATCCCCTTATTTACAAGTGGGATGACGGAGACGTCACCATTCTTAAAAATCCTCCCCTAAGCAGCTAACCGCCATTGTGACATTCACGCAGTTCTTTACTTAGACACACAAATACTCTACAGCAGAGTTGGGTGCATCGATCCCTCTGCTCCTGAAAACCAGGCGTGCCCCAAGAAGGTTTGGCAAGAACCCGCTCCGTCTAGTCAGGAGTCTCTTTGGAAAGCAGCGGCAGCCATACGGACACTCACTTGGAAAGAGAGACTCCGCCTGGTTTCCCTATTAATTCTTCATGGTGCAGCACTGCGTCGCTCCAGGAAATGTCTAGGAACTGCATGATGACACGCATGGACCGCTCGGGGTGCAGCACTAGCTGCTCATAGTAGACTGGCAGGCACCTGGACTGCCCAATTTCTACGCACTGCGAATACATCACCTCGATCGCTTTGTTCCACTTGGTAAGGCAGTCTCGGTAGCTGTTCAGGTCAAAGCCTGCAATCGTCACCTTCCTTGTGATCATGGAATGGACAGAAGCCCGGCCGTCTCGAACCATCAGCAGAAATTTGGAATTGGGAAAGAGCCTGGAAAGGTAGACAGAGGATTTTAAAGTGAAGGGGTCCTTGTTACATAGATATCTGGCTGGCTCCCCATGCTTGGCAATGACTTCCAGGATAAACGCCTGCATGGCAGCGTCCAGGACTTGGTCCGTCACTCCCGCTTCATCCAAGCGCATCTTTTCGCGCCCAGATTTGGACCAGGCCTGGCGCATGGCCAGCACCCGGGGAATAATGCGAGTCTCTTCTCCGCAGCGGACCTCTGGATGCGCATCCAGCATGGCTCTCATGAGAGTCGTGCCGCTCCGCGGGACCCCACCGATAAATATCAGCGGCATCTCCTTGCTGTACCGGTACTCGATGCGACTGGAGTCCACCAGAACCAGTTCTTCGTTTTCTGGTCTCATCAGCCCACGTGTCCGCTTGCCATAGCCCTCGCCCAGCAGCGCCTGGCACTCCAACATCTGCTGGCCAAGGTGCACAGTCACCATCAGGGCAACAGCAAAGCCAAGCCCCAGCAACACTCGCCTCATGGTGACCCGCATTCTGTTCCTCTGCACATAGGCTGGGAGACCTTCAGCTTTCGGTTAGTGAGCAGCCAAGCCGGTGCGCATCTGCAAAGAAAACAGCACATGTTCAAAGAAGTCAGTGGCATACATCCGGTTACCCGGCCCGTCTCCTACTGAGCCACCTGGCACCAGGACAGCCTCAGCCTCCAATAAATCACACAAAGACCTACTGATCACCTCAACTGGCCCTGGAGAGAACACGCCAAGCCATTTGTCTTGTCTGCTTGGAACTAACTCCAGCTTCCACCACAACTCCTGAGAGACCATTCCAGGGTCTAATCAACCTCGTGATTTATCACCATCTTACATCCCCAAAAGAAGTGCAAAGTGATTTTCAGTCTGTACGTAAAGAGATTGTTTCTTGCTGCTGGGGACGAAGGTACCTGTTTACCAGCAATGCTGTGCAGCAGTTTAGGAGAGAAAATTAAGAATCATGTATCCAGGAAATCCTTAGGGAAGTACTTCCAGAACATCCAGACCAAATTTTCCTTGGCTTATCTTCATCCTATTACTTCCTTCTATTAAATATGTGTTGCTTTGAAGCAAGGACTGCCATCAAAACAGAGAAGAACTGAAGTAAAAACAGAATAGAAACCTCCAAGCTCTGGGATTCCATGCGAGCAATTCTAGAAGAGTCGGAGTGCAGCAAAAGCACAAGCCTTGCTTTACGAGCTCAATGGCAGAGCTTTTGTATGTATGGCCAGGGGCATTTTGGCTTAGTCAGACTTTTCCCTCCTCAGGAAGGCCAAGAAAACATCAACCTCCAAGGTGACAGACTGATTTACTGCCCTCCATCCCAGATGCGTCCCCAGTCCTTTCTGGCAGTTTTCCTTTGTTGTATTACACGTATTCACTGAACTACACAACACAACCCTTCTATCAGTTCCATAAACAAGACGTTTCCTGTATGCATTTGTTTACTTTGATTAGGAATTAGCTAGGACATGAGAAAACTCTACCCATTTGATTTCCAGGAGGTTGGTGGGCTTGCTTCAGCAGAAGCGATGGCCAATGAGCATCAAATTGGGTTAATTATTAAACAAACTATGTATGTGAAGATTTAGTGTCAATACTAGCAACAAGCATTGCCAATCTGAATACTCCCCTGCCAGAAACTGACCTTACATAAAGTTTCCCCTTGAAACACTGAAGCTTTCATTTGGCTCTGCCGTGAAGACGCGACTTCTCCATAGGAGATTCCAGCAGGAGGATTGTTGCTCCTGCAAGTCTGTCTCCTGCTCTGCTGATTCCACAAAGCTCCTATTAAAACTGGCCAACCATCCCTCCCCCTTTCCCAGCCGAACCCACTAGTGCAGGGTTTGGAATCCCGCCCCGAGGTCACAGAGGGTGTTTGGGGTAAATTCCTTGCAATGCCTGGATTTGGGAAGAAGTTGAACATGGGAAAGGGGAAGGGAACCGCTGTGCATTTTATTTCTCTGCCAATCCAAAACGCTGCCTAAGAAAAATATTTTGTGCTCAAAAATTTCTTAATGAAAGCAAGCATTTACCAGCGGCCCATGTAACCATGCAGAGCAGTCCATTCTCACACCCGGCAGGGCACTGGCCGTGTCCCGGGAGCTGAGTCAGGCGTGCTGCTTTTCTTGACATCATTATTTGTTCAGCACTGATTGTGCGTGGTACTGTACAAAGAGCAGCAGTTCTGGGCCCCGGGACTCTACAATCTAGTTACATGTCTCTGAAGTGATGAATTGGTCATTTGACTTTTTAATATATATTCATCTCAAAAAGCAATTTAAAATGCCCACTAGCCTCTGGGCTCCACAGCATTTATAGCTGGAATGGACAGAAATTCAGACTAACCGGACTGTAATGGGATGTAGTTCAAAAGTCTAAGCAGAGGTAAACAAATTTATTTTAAAGGGAGGATAGACGTTTGTACTAAATGGGGTAGGAGAATATGATTTATGGTTAACATTTCCTCCCGGGATTCCCTGGCAGCCCCACTCGCTTGTCAAGGTCACTTAGAGGTGAGGACATGGCTCATCTGGGCATCTGAAATGAGTGCTGTGAATCTGGCCACACAAACACGGGATTCCAGAACAACGGACCAGACGGAACGTGCCACACGTCAGAATCCTGAAGTGAAACCTGCTACATAAGTTCTGGGCCCTCCACTGCCCAGGCAGCAGGGGGTGCTGGACAAAGTCGCTTGAAGGGACTGTGATCTCAAATGTTATTCAGCTCTGCTCCTGCCCATCCATGTGCTTGTTCAACTACTGCCAAGGCAGATGGTAACTATGCAGCATTTACAGAGACTGTTTGGCCTCTCATTTTGCCTGCTAGCCATTTAAAAAGAAAAAAAAGCTCTTAAAATAGCGGGTCTATCAGCTTCAGGATGACAGACATGCGGACAGCCTGCTGTCTGGGCACATGACTAGGGAACAACAACCCTGATCTGATGCTGACTCCATCTGTGTCTGGAACATGTCACTTCTCTCTCTCCCTGCTTCCCAAACAGTAACAAGGGGAATACTTGCTGGGGGGGGCAGCCAGGGGGGTGGTTGCCAAGACCAGACTGCTACCCAAAGTACTACCTGTTATTAGATGGGGGTCACTAAAACCTCCCGAAACTCAGAGTTCCTAAACAAGCACAAGCGAGCCTACTCACTAAAGCGAGGTCAAAGGTGCAACTAAACTCAAGCTGCGTTCTGCAGTCTTCTGCTGCAGAAAGTCCTCAGCTACTGTCTTCTCCCGGCTTCTTCCCTCCCACACAGGATCCAGAGACTTAATCACTGTATCCTCCAGGACATACGTTCATCAACAGAAACCAAAAAGCTAAAGGCTTCACCAGACCACAACCAGCTCAACAGGACCCCCACACGTCTGGCTGGTGCTCTGACCCCTGGGACACATTGACGAAGATGGAGTACGAGCCAGAGAGCCAGAAACTCCATCTTCAACCAGACTGAGAATTTAGTGCTGGCTTTAAATGCAACATGCAGAGTAACAGCTGAGCTGTGGCCGATGTGGGAATAAGGATCAATACAAACCCAAAATAAAAAAAATCCCTGCAATTAAAAATCTTCCCCATTTTGCATTCTGATTAGGTATTCATATCAGCAAGATTTGTAATTGTTTCTAGTGGCTTTGGAGAGTGGTAAAATATTAATAAAACAGAAGCGGCTGTGCAGACACAAACATGAAATATTCATTAACTCACTCCCAATATGTCATGCAGGGTCCCACTGCTCTGACAGATCCTCTTTTGATACACTTACCTTTCCCTGCTAAATTCATTTTGCCGTTGGCCGATCTTTGCTCAGAAATACAGATGGCCGATGAATACCTAATGGGGAAAAAAACCCACAATGCTGATTTGTTTAGAGAGAACGGATATTCATCAGAATGGTTAGAAATAAAATGCTCATTCTCAGGATTCAATTTTCAATACTGCAGTTTTAATAGTCTATCGACACACAGCTCATTAATGTTTTAATGTTTACCTGAAAGCCACACGACATGCAGACACGAGATACAACTGTTACGTTCATCATGTATTGTCTCCACCAAACCTAGCAACTGACTGGCAGAAATCAGCCTATCTTAACACGCTGGCAGTGTCACTTGGCTATCTCAGCTACAGACAAGGCATTAAAAATAAGACTATACACCTGGCATCACAACCCTGAGCCCATGAAGCAACATTCCTCTCATCCCAGGGAAACCTTGCAAGTCCATGGGGTAAATTACAACAAAACTCAGGGAGAGTTTGGGGGCACCGGCTGAGAGAGAAGAAGAAAGCAATTGAACACATCTCTCAAATGAGGTAGGAGGCTGACTTCAAGACCTGAGACGGCGAGAGCAAGAGCTAGGCAGAAGCAGGAAGGATGTGAGAGGCCAGAGGGGATGGCAGACTGAATAGATTACAGAGTCCCCACTGGGATTTTCTATTTCCCACAGGTAAACAGAACCACGCAGCCCGCTCCAGAGGACACTGCACAGCACCTGCTTTCCCGTTTCATTACAAGCTCTGAAATCAGGCAAGAGCAAAAGTGCTGCAGAGGGTCATCAGCTTTTCCCAGTGTACGGCTTTGACCGAGGTCATCTGCAATTCTGAGCAAGCTCTGCTTTGAGCAAACCACTCAAAGCGAAGTCAAGGGGATGCGAACCCCAGAGCAAAAGAAAACGTCTGCATGAGCCCCTGCAAAGCAAGCTGCAAGATTCCCCTGCCTAGGACAAACTCTTCCACGTTTTGCTCAAGGTGGATTCCTTCACCCTGCTGTCTGTGAAACTGATTTTTAGCACATGGAACTCCCTGGGGCCCAGTGGTGTTTGCAATCTACCGGCAGCATGCAGATCCACAAGACGTGATCTTAACACTGAAACAAAACGGGCTCCCACGCGTGGTACACATGCGCCCCTCCCACTAAGAATCGCCCCCCGCTCCCCACCTGTCTCTGGATTTCCAAGGAGCCCTGTCTTCTGCATCTGCAACTAAGTTCCCTCTTTGCATATCATACAACAGCCTAGTAGACGGAGCTGCCTTCTGAACACACAGAATCTTTTTCATGCTGTTTCCAGGAGATGCCTCTGAACCCGGGATAAAAACGTTACCAGTGTAACTGCTGCAAGAAGTTAGGTGCCCCTGCAGGGCAGCAGCAAGGCAGGCTCCAGTCGCCTGTCGGGTGAAGGGGCAGAGACAGAAGGGAGAGGAGGGGGCAAAAAGGCACAAAGCAGCACATGCCATTTGGCTGCACACAGCGACCAGGCCTATTCGGCTGGAAGGGGATTTCCACCTGGCTCCAGGATTAGAGGCTGTCACGGGATTCTCTCCCCAGTATTTCTGGAGCACCCCCTGCTGCAGATCTAAGCACTCCACGTACACGACAGGCCTCGGTGTCTGCTGCTGGGGGTGATGACGCACTCATCCATAGTCTGGTGAGCACACCTGGTAACACTACACCCCCCCCCCATCACATACACAGCTCCCCACAGCTCTCGTGGTCGGGGCGCAGCACCTCGCCTCCCCAATTGGACATTGACAGGTGCCCTCGAGACCTGGGGCTTGACTGTCAGAGGTGATGAGCGCCCACAGCTCCATTAACTTCAACTGGAGTTCTGGGCGCTCAGCACCACTGAAAGGCAGGCCCTTGTTTGCCTCAGTTTCCCCTGTACACCAGGGATTTCATCCCCTGCTTCACAGAACCGACTGATGGTGTCTGTAGTACTGGGTCAGTACAGAAGCGCTGGAGAACTGCTAATGATTAGTACTGATGTGTGAGTGGAACAAGGCAATCAGATCTGCCTCTACTCTAGAGCGAATTAAGAGCCTGGGGGGAACTCCAGAGAATCCCAGTCTGCCCAGAGGGGCAGGGATGATTAGAACACATTCCTTTCCAACCAAAACTGCCCTGCATTGAGCCAGGTCCATCAACGGGGGGATTTCAAGTCTGGACTAGGCTGCAGGCTCCCCGGGGCAGGGACCACATTTCCTCAGAGATTTTTGAAGTACCATCGGTGCTCAAATAGCAGCTGTTCACAGCCCACCGCCCAACGCTCTGCCCTCATGAAAATTGCCCAAATCGTGCACTTATGTGGCATGTGCACACACGCGCACACACACTTCCTTCCTGACACTGCTCATGCAAACCACCACCAGGGAGCTGCTTTGCCAAGAACCCTTCGCACACAGAACCAGTAACTTCTCAGAGAGGCAGCGACTTAGCCGAGGGCCTCTCTCTGCAAGAGCCTGACAGTTTTGCCATGTGAGGCAGACAATGAGCCATGAAGAGTGGAGCAACTATCCACCAGAGCCTGCCACGGACCAGAGGTCCACATCAGTGGCTCTCAACCTTTCCAGACTGCTGCACCCTTTCAGGAGTCTGATTTGTTGTGTGTACCCCAAGTTTCACCTCTCTTAAAAACTACTTGCTTACAAAAAAAAGAAGAACAGGAGGACTTGTGGCACCTTAGAGACTAACAAATTTATTAGAGCATAAGCTTTCGTGGACTACAGCCCACTTCT